TCTGTGATGGCCATTGCCGGCCTGCTGTCCTTTGTCTAGGTGTTTTGGCTCTGGCTGCTTACTTTGGCGCCGAGCTTGTTGCTCCCCTTGGTTATCCTCCTCCCGGTCCTGTTGGCCCGACAGAAAACGATGCGATCCATCGATGAAATTCTCAAAAGTTGCACGAATCGTCGAGTTGCATCTATCGCAAATGCATCCATCGGCTCCACATTGACCATCCAGGCCCACATTGACCTCTCGCTCTTTGCAAATGGCACACGAGCGCTTCGGTGGGTTCTGGTGCCTCATCATGGGCTTCGGTCGGCGCGATCTGCTTCGATTGACGTTCAAGTTGGGGCGATATTCTCTCGCACTTTTACGCATGGATGGCAGGGTAAAGTCGTCCAGCATGAATTGTGGCTCCACTGCGGTTGGCTGTTGCTCTGCGGCATCATCCACGTAGAACTGCTCTTGGCTGAGCAACGATTCGATCTCCGGCTCAGTGGCTGCCGAGGCCATCTCGTCCCCACAGCTGACATCCTGATCTGCTTGACCCGACAAAGCATTCAACTTCTGTGTGGCTGCTCGGCTTCTGTCCTCCTTGTTGTTTTTGTAGTGGTTTATAATTTTTCTGAAGCCGAAACGTGCCATATTTTGTCAAAATTTCCAAATTCAGGCAAAATTTTGTTGTGTTTTTTTTTTTTTTTTCTATTTTCTATTTTCTGACAGCGTTGGCTATGCACTCGTTGTCTTTATTTTGCTATGGCTCAGCCAATTGGGCAGCAGCTTGCGCCAGGACCGCAGCCAGCCGCCGCTTTTGCTGCTAGTGCGTGATCCGTTCATGCTTTCCAGCTGGACAATCCCCGTGGCGCCCACAAAGCCATTGATGTTGGGAAAACTCTGCCATTTGTTGGGCACCACAAACGACGAGCACCGCGTCTGAGCCGACTGCATCAGGTCTGGCCTGAGTATGCTCTCCGCGACGTGCAAGAGCGTGTGACGTTGCCTGGTGGCAGCTTGGGTATTCTCCGACGGCAGCGTGGGACGGATGGACAGAAAGCTGGCACGATAGAAATGATGCAGGTTTGTGCCCATGCATCCGGCACCGCCATGGGACTGCATATGGAATTGTGGCACCACCTGCACTGGGTCATCCGGCACTGGCAGAGGACGCGGTGTTTGCTTCGAGCTCTTCTTGCTCTGGCTCTCCATTGGGTACTGCACTACCCGTAACTCTCGATCCTGCCAATACTTGGGCTGCTCAGCTGCTCCAATCTCCAGCGCTCGCTCCTGCTTTGGTTCCATCGTGCCGCCCTTTTGCTCCTGCGGCTTTTCAGCTACCCGAATTTGTTGTTGCTGTTGTCGCTTTGGAGCTCGTTCGGTTCTTTCCCGTCCAGATGCTGATGTAGTGCGAGTCGTTGCTGCGCGAGCTGTTGATTTGGAATTATTTTGATTCTGTGCGGGGAGCTGATATCTGGCGGGTAGATCTGGTCGTGGCTTAGCCGGTGCGGACTGATCGCGAGGACGCGAGGATCGTAAATGCTTAGGATGCGAAGCCGTTTGTGTTTGAATTGAGACCTTCTCGCGTTTTGCTGTCGTCGATTGAGTTCGCTTGGGCTTCGAGCTGGAGGCCTGATTGGATCGACTAGAGGCGGCTTGAGTCGCTGGCCTAGATCTGGCAACTTTCGTAGTTCTGGTGCTGTGCAAGCTATGGGTATTCGCAGTCAGCTTGCCACCGCGACACCGCTGCTTGCACTTGTGGCACAGGCAGGCGGACAGGCGTAGCGCCTTGCTCGACACCGGCAAAGTGCAGGGCTTAGCGATGGGTATACGAGAAGATTTTAGCGAGAAAATCGATTGATGCTGTGGGAGGGGAATTGTATTAAATGGAATAATGTTAGTCGAAGAATTAACTCACACTTGGCATTAGGTTTGAATAAAATTTGAATGGGAAAAAGCGACGATTCTTCATGCTAAGCTGTAAATATTTTAACGAAGTCTGTAAATGAAATTTCAATTTTGACATTGATTTATATTTTAGACATAGTTTACGCTTACGCCACAGTCAGAAAGACGTCGACTGGGTAGCTTGAAGCGTCGCTTTGTCAAATGCAAGCTGCTCTCTGGCATTATGCGCGCCTGCGGGATTTCAATGGAAGAGTTGGTTAATGGAGGTTATACAAAAGTTCTCATACAAACTAGAGCTGCTTACAGAAGAGCTGCTGGGTGGCTGACTACGTGAGCGCTGTGTAGTGCTGGAGGACCTAGGTGCTAGCTGTAATGAAAATAAAAGTGTGAATCAAGGCTGATCTGTAGACACTCGTCGAGCTCATGCTTACTCCCGAGGAGAATCTGTGATTTCTCGTGGGTGTTCTGCTGTTCTCCTGGAAATACTTCACGGGCACAAAATTAGCACAGCCGGCATTATTGTTGAGTGGGGGTATGCCAGGGCTGCGGTCTCGTCTATCATTCGTTTCCTGCACTCGGCCGCCTTTATATTCACACTGCGGATATGGGGGCGAGTACGGCTCTGCACATTTTCTTCTCGGTTCGGGTATAAACCGTTTTTGCACATTGCAACTGCATCTAGAGACAGTTAGGGGATTTTTGAGGAATCTTCCGCTGCCGGATTGTAGCTCCATGTAGTCCACTTTCGAGTCGTTCATGGAGAACTCCGTTTCGGGTCGCTGTGGCGCCTCGCAGGGTCGATAGCCGTAAACATAATTTATATTTGGTTTCTTTCCTTTTGGCTTGCTACACGAAGGATTCATGCAAACGATATCGCTAGTTGGAGTGACCATAGTGTTACGATTCTTGATTACATATTCCGTATAATCGCTTGATTCTTTCGGCTCCATTTTGCTATCATTGCGGCTAGGACAGGACACGAGGTCGTATGACTTGTAGTCTGATTCGTGGCTGTTCGATCTGGGCTCGAAGAGAGTTTCGCAATGCGGACAGAGCTGTAAATTGCCATGGCTTGCCTCGTGATAATTGTGATGGGGCCCCTTGGACGGGGCTGCACCATACGAGTTGCTGTAGCCGCTATAATCGGCTCGATCACGCTGCCTCGGCGGTGGGTCTGTAACGCATGCCTTATCGCAACGGGTCCTCTTAGGCGTTACGGGCGGAGGCTTTTTAGGCTCGTACAAATTCTTTGGGGCAGCTTGATTACGATTTCCGTTGGGCTTCGGCGAGCTACACGGCTTGCAGAACGGTTTTGGCGGTGGACTCACACGTTTCGGTTTATCATAACGCTGCGGTGGTGCAGTATTGCGGGCCTCACAGCACATTCGAACCGTGTTTGGTCGACCAGCCGTATCCGAAGAATTTGGTGTCTTTGCGGTATACTGACCTTGATTTGGTTCAACGTCGTAAGCCTCCCAATTGGTTTCGTTTCTTGGTATGGATCGTGGTCCTTGGCTCGGCCGAGATCGATGATCGTTGGGCGACGAATCACGGAAACGGACATCAGTTGGTGCACGATAAAACTGAGCGTTTGCTGGTGAACGACAACAATTGTCATTTCGTTCGCAAGTTTGTGCGGAAGTATTACACTTTGCACATGGAGTAGGTTTGGCTTTACGCCTCGCCATTTGATTTGTGCTCACTGTTTTTTTCGGGGTAGTATTGGCACGTGAACAGCCCATGCCTGCGGATTTACGAGCTGGGGGAAACTTGTTACTTGGACTGTCAATAATAACTTGCGTCATTTTCGTTTCCTGATAAATGCTGATGGAATAATTCTTTAAATGGTTGGAGCCCTGCAGCCTGGAGAAACTTTGATGTGACAACTCGGGCATTTGATGGTAGGGCTGCTCAGCTAATTGGGGATATTTTTGCCTAGCTAACGATTCCAGGGACTGCGTTGAAGGCAGCTCTGAAGTCAACTCTTCGTTGTAGAGCAAATGCTGTTCTTGGTATACTTGCTGATACGACCCCTCAGAAATATCCTGGTACACTATCGGATACCCGTCTGCAGTCGACTCATCAGAGAATTCCTGGTACGGATTTTGATGTTGATGTGGGTAAGGATTTCTGTACTCCTCCATACACAATTTCGGGGACTGACCGGGGCAGTCTGCCTCAGAAAATTGCTGGTACATCTCTAAATTCGACTTGCCCGACAACTCCTGGTACGACTTTTCATGTTGGTCTGCGCATGGGTTTACGTACTTTTCTTTACACACTTTCGGGTTGTCTTCGTTAGGTGCTGCCCCATGCGATAACTTTTCCGGGTACAACTTCCGACACCTCGCAGGAGACAACTGCTGGTAGGGCTCTTTAGACAACTTTGAGTATGCGTTCTCGGACACTTCGTGGTACGGCTCCTCTGATAACTTCGGGTATAAGTTGTGGAATGATTGCTGATACTGTTCGTCGCTCAACTTAACAGTTACGTCGCTGCTCGTTTCTTGATCCATTTCCCTGTACGGCTCCTCAGCTAACTTCGGAGCTTGACTCTGTGACGATATCTGGTTCTCCTCTTGGCAAGTTATGTTGGGCAACTTCTGGGACAATTGCCAGTTGTAGTTCTGGTGCGACTCTACAGATTCTTCCGAACACGGCCTCTGGTGAATTGTCGTGTACGCCTTTTGATATAGACCGGAATACGGTTCCTGTAGACGCTTAGAATCTGTAGGACCTTCATCAGGATCTTTGCGAAAGTCGTTTGCACAGCTGATCAGACTTTTAGCCATTGTTGTCTTGATCATTAGCTACGAAAAGGGCACACTAATTCTGTTATATGGTACGGCTCACATTATCTATAGTATTCGACAAGTGTAAACAAAGAATTTTACAAATAAATTTTGTACAATCTACAATCGGAATGAAAACAAAGCTAATTTGATAAGTTTAGCTAAGTTTTGACTACAGTTTACCTAGCTTACACAGTTTACCTAGTTACCACTTAGTTCCACCATACACTTGATTTACGTATGTGAGGAAATGTAGACAATAGAAAGATCTTGGCTTGGTTCGATTCCATCTTTATTTAAGTCATTTATAACTGATCGATCTATGTTTATATATAGAGAAACATATAGTGCATGGATTGCACATGAAATCAGATCACAGTTAAAGGCTCCATTAATTATGATGCGTTCTTATGTGCGATCCATGCGCACACATAGTTATATATACATATATGTATATAGGAGGTTGACTTAGTGAAACCTAGAGAAACGTTGATGTGACAATTGCGTCATCTGGTTTGGCTCCTTAGCTAATGGGGGATATTTTTATTTGGGACTGCTTCTGAGTTCTTGTTATGATTGCTGATACGACTTTTCAGAAATATTCTGGCACACTTTCGGAAACTCCTCTGGAGCCGACTGATCAGAGAATCCTTGGTATGGATTTCAATGTTGATCTGCGACGAATTTCTGTACTGCTCCATATCCAATTTAGGGTACTGAACGGGGTTATCTTTCTTTCCTTTACGTGCTGCGGCATCCGAGTACAACTTCCGATACTTCGCTGGAGACAACTCCTGGTAGGGCTTTTTAGACAGCTCGGAATGTGCGTCCTTGGGCACTTCGTGATACGGCTCCTCCGATAACTTCGGGTATAAGTTATGGACTGATTGCTGACACAATCTAACATCGCTGCTTGATGCTTGATCAATTTCCATATACGGCTCTTCTGATAACTAGGGGGCTTGACTCTGTAACGGTACCTGGTTCTCCACCTGACAAGCTATGTCGGGCGACTTCTGAAACTCTTCTGAGCCGGAATACTGTTTTTGTAGACTTTTAGAATCTGTGGGCTCTTCCTCTGGATCTTTGCGAAGATCATTTGCACAGCTGATCAGACTCTGAGCCATTATCGTCTTGATCAGTATTGCAATGACTACTAAAAGCGCACACTCATTCTGTTATATGGTACGCCTCACATCATCTAGTGTTGGACAAGTGTAAACAAAGAATTTTACAAATAAATATTTTACAAGCTACAATCGAAATTAAAACAAAGCTAATTTGATCAAGTTTTGCTTAGGTATTACCTAATTCTATTAGACTTATCTAAGGTGGATTTTACAGGTAAAACTAAACAACAGATTGATCTGCATTTAGATCTCGGCTTGATTTGACTCCAACTTTATTTAAGTAATTTATGACTGATCGATCTATGTATGTCTATATATAGAGAAACATATAGTGCATGGATTGCACATAAGTTCAGATCACAGTTAAAAAGTCCATTAACTATGATGTGCTCTTATGTACCGTCCATGCACCATATAGTTATATTTACATATATGTGTATAGGATGTTGACTTAGTGGAACCAAAATTCCGAAAAGTTTCTTGCAAACGGCGGTTGGTTCAAAAGGGGTTTATGCATGCGATGACGTGCCTTCTTGTTTTGACTGTTTGGCCGCGATTGATGCGAGGCGGATGGTAAATTGAATAGACGTGAGCCGCACAGACCGCGTAGCAACATCTTCTTCTTTATCTTCCTGTTCATGTGGTGTATGACACGCGGGCTGGGCCAATGCAGGGGCCAACGCGTAGTCATGCGCATTAGCTCTACCTCCCGATCTCTAACGGGAAAACGCTTCGTCCTATGCTTATATCCACTGGGTATAGCCGTATTCTTAACTTTGGCCTTTCGCTTAGGTCTCTTCCTCATTCGACTTACATTCGTTTTGTACACTGGCGCATCGATGTCCTCGTCATCGGCAGCATCCATTAAATAGATGGGCGAATCGCTCTTGGTTGCTGTGCGATCGCCCGCTGTCAAGCGGTCGCCATTTTTGTGAGGTTGTTGCAGCAGCTTCAACATCAGCGACCTCCACAGTTGATTCGTATCGACTTGCTTCGGATTCGGATCATCGGGATTTTGTACCGTTGACCATTCCGAATAGTTTTGTTGCCGATCCTCTTGTAGTAGTAGTATCTCTTGCAAGAGCTCTAGTTGTTCGATTGTTAGATTGAGCTCGTGTTGAATGCATTGGCTTTCCATATCCGCCGTTGCCAGATCGCTGAACTCTTTGTGGCTACTCTTCTTCCGATCGATTTCTTTTGGCACCTTTGTCAAACTGGGCGGCTTTGTGGCGTTTGGTGAACTTGTCGATGGGTCATCCACCTCTGACTGCCATGGCGTTGCCAGACCGTTGCTGACCTTAGGCCTAAGCGACGACAGTTCCAGAGCTGGCTGCTCCAACTTTGCCACATAGCTTAACGGTGACAGGTGCAGCTCTGACGATGGAGACGGCGTTGCCATACAGTTTTCCGTTTGCTTTTCATCTGATTCGCACAGCTTAGAGCATGCTGGACACGACTTTGCCAGAGTGTTGCTGGACGGCATTGACTTGGGTTGTAATATAATAATTTTTGGTTGCGGCAAGTCTGCTTCGGATGGACACGGCGTTTCCAGACTGTTAACAGACAGCTTAGTGCTTTGCCGAGACACATGTGGTACCGCGCGCAGCAGTGATGCCAGACTGTCGGCCGAATGCCTTACATCTTGCACTATTGTCCGACTTATGCAGCTGCCAGGCTGCCTTAAAGTTGATGGACTGTTGGCCACACACGTTTCATCTACATGTGAAGTTTTGAGCGTTGCCACACTATCATCAGACTTAATACTTTTTAGCTTCAGCCCTTGACGCAGCATAGCCACGCTGCCCTCATCGACAACATTCTGCTCAGGCTGTTGCAGCGTTGCCAGACTGTCATTTTGTTTGGTCAAGAGACTTGCCCCGCTCTGCTGTTTGGCCTTCAAGATCTCCGACAAATCAGCCAACAGTCTCTCAGTTATATACTTCAGATTCGCATCGAAATCTTGACATTGATTGCTCGTTAGCCTGTCGTCTTTGAGGTCGGATTCGATTTGCTGGCGACCTACTTGTGCCATGAATTGGTTAATTAACGTTGTGCTGCTCACATTATGAACTGCTTTTGGGCTCACCGGCGATTTGGGCGCGATCTCCGGTGATTCCATAATCTTTTTGGCCATAAGCTTGGCCAGCTTCACATAATTAAAGCCGTCCGTAAGACTGTAGGGATCTTGCGGGGGCAGCTGGGGAGGCTGTTGCTGCTGCTGCAGTTGCTGTTGCTGCTGCTGTTGCTGCTGTTGCTGCTGCTGTTGCTGCTGATGCTGCTGCTGTTGCAGCTGCTGGTGTTGCTGCTGCTGCTGTTTCTGTTGCTGCTGTTGCTGCTGCTGCTGTTGCTGCTGTTGCAGTTGCTGTTGCTGGTGCTGTTGCTGATGTTGCTGTTGCAGCTGCTGCTGCTGCTGCTGCTGTTGCTGCTGCTGTTGTTGCTGTTGCTGCTGCTGATGATGCTGTTGCTGTTGCTGTTGCTGCTGCTGCTGCTGCAGTTGCTGCTGCTGCTGCTGCTGCTGTTGCTGCTGTTGCTGCTGCTGTTGCTTCATAGTATTTAAGTTTGCCGCTTGCTTGTGCGCAAAAGCTGCATTGCTCTCTAGGCAGCTGATTAAATTGTTTGCGCATTTGCCAAAATTGAAGGGCACAAAACTAGGCATTAAATGCCTATGTTGCTGTTGTCGCTGTTGCCGTTGTTGATGTTGCTGTTGCTGCTGTTGCTGTTGCTGCTGCTGTTGCTGCTGTTGCTGCTGCTGTCGCTGCTGCTTATGGTGCTGCCGCTGTTGCTGTTGTTGCTGCTGCCGCTGCTGTTGATTACGCAGGCATTGCTGCCTGAGCTGGCGCAGCTGTTGCTTCAGCTGCACCGATATATCGTTGATAGTCTGTTGCTGTCCTTTCGCATAGGCCGTCATAATCGAATGCGACCACAGCGGCGAATTCGGCTGAATGGGCGTATTCGAGCTATACCACAGTTTGGGCTGTGCCCGCTGCAGGGGCCGCTGCAGCAGAGGCTGCTGCCAATTCGCTGTGCTCGTGAATTGCGGCGAAATGTTCATTAGATCTCGCCGCAGGCGACTTAGATTACGGCTGCTTGGTTCGGGCGCGCGTAGCTTCGGCATGCGTGGCACAGCACCCACCATTTTGTTGCACACGCTCGAGACGAACGTGTCGCGACGCGGCGTCCACTGGGGCGTTGCACCGCTCAGCCAGGACACGTTAAGCTGGCCCATCTGCTGCTCAGCTGGATGCTGCTGAGGCGGCGGCTGCTGGAAGGCGCTCAGGCCAGCTCCCAGGCCGCGACGTCGTGCCATCATTGTGCAATGATATGCTAATAACTAATGAATAAAATGTAATTTTTAACTTGAAATTTGTAGAGTTGAAACATTTAAAATTTTGAATCTACGCCATAATTGTTGTTTGCAAAGCTTTAGTTACGGGAGTCCAAAAAACGTTGACGCGCAACGCAAAGCGCCGCAGCATCTCAGCTGTTTTTTGTTGCTGTTGCTTTGTTTCCATTTCTGATTTTTTTTTCCTTTGGTTTAAAAGCGCGCCCACGTGTTTACAGTTAGAGCTTTCGCTGCTGACGTCACGTTTGGTGCTGGCGCATGCGCAGTTTTGCGCCTTCCTTGCCGGTCACAATGGAACATTTCATTCATTGCGGCTTCAGTTCCAGCGCAAGGTTTCGAATTGGAACTCCAATTGGAAATCTACACTCGGCGCATTCACTGTCTCTCTTAAGCTCTCTTCCTTAGCTGTTGTCCGTTCAAGTGGAAGTCACTGTTGCTGTTGTTGCTCAGTTGAGCAGGCGCGCAATTCAAACTCATATTTTGAATTTTTCGATTTTAAGGTAAAGTTGTCAAATTTGAGCACACTTAACTTACGTTTTCGAACGGTAAACATTAAATTTCCGTAATAGAAGTTTTTTTTTGGTATTTCAGTATTAACAATAAAAAATAATAAATAATCAAGAACCTAATCAAACCACCCACACACACACATACACAAAGATCAAAGACTTAGACAAAAATTAAGATCCAAATAACAGAATGGTGAATGTCGGTTGCGTTGCCAAATTGCTAAGTGGTCTGCATTTGGGTAGTAGCTTTTGGGTGAAACGCGTCAATCCGCATTGGTATGAGGCGCGAGAGCTGCCCAAGACGTTGCTAAGCGAGAAGTTGGCAGAGAAAGTGCCGAACGCACGAACGACGGCTGGAAGAAAATATACGAAACCCTGTTTGACTATGACGCCACTGACTAGGCATTCAGCTGTGCTATAATTTAACAAAGATTATTGTGGGGTTCAGTCAGAAACAAAAGTGCTTTAACTAATTGCAGTGCAGCATGTGATGTACAATACATAATCGGACATTCAATTAACCTGTGGAAGATAGAATACTTAAATTTTGTTCAAAATGCCCGCCAAGTACAGATGTGTGCTGCCAACTTATTTGAATAAATACTAACAGAGAAATTTGCTTAACGTAACAGAGTGCTGTTATTATTTAACAGAGCGATCAACGGTCGCATGCAACACTGAACAAGAGAGCAATTGGGTATGTGTGCGTGCGTGTGTGTGAGTGTGTGTGTGTGAAGAGCACGACATGCCAATCAGTTGGTGCCGAGTTTTTGCTTCGTATGCAGGTGGGCTGCGTTTCGCGCTAAAATCGTATAAGAATCGCCACTTAAACAATATAAAAAAAATTCCAATAGCCGAAAGCGAAGGCACTTGATAATATAAATCGCGGCGCATGCTACGCCCACGCGTTCAAGTTCAGTGCAAGCGAGAAAACAACCAGCAAAAGCCAAAAGGCAATAACAAGGCACAAGTGATAAGAATTCATATATATAAACATATATAAATATATAATTATATACATATATATGTGTATATATGCATACTTATATATTTAATACAAATTCAACGTGAAAAGAAATCTGGCGACGAATGGAAAAAAAATGAAATATTGAAACAAAATTTAATATAAAAGATAGAAAGCATTCGTAAAGTGTACGCTAAGAGCAAAAAGCAAAAATCAAATTGGAATGAAACAAAGATTAAACAAAGTGTTTCATATTTGAGACAGTGTTTGTTATTGTTGCTATTGCTGATTGGGCTGCTGCTGCGGCTGGAAAAGTAGAAACAAAAAAATATGTTATATAGCTAGTAGGAGAGGGAGAGGGAGAGGAGCTGTGTACTAAATATCAATTATAAACACATACATATGCATGTATGCGTGTGTAAATGTAATTTCTTATATGATTTCGTGTGCGGCTGTGTGTGTGTATATATATATGTATGTGCGGCGACATGCGGAAGCAAAAAATATTCATGAATGGCAATTATGCTGGTGTATTTTTTTTTTGTTTGCTCGCAGCCAAAATGACGGCGAAAACTACGTACGGTTTTCCACTTGGAAGTCGTGACGTTTTTCGATTGCATAGCTACATATGTATGTGTTTGTAATGTGCGTGCGTGTGAGTGTGCGCTCAGCTTTTGCCCGCAAACCCATGTGTGCTAGTGTAAGTGTGTGTGTGTGAGTGTGTTTGTTTGACTGCGAACGTCATAGCAACTCCAGTAAAACGCAAATAAGCCAAAGAAGAAAAGCTAATTGCTGTTGAGTGGTCTAATTGGACACCTTGCGTTTGTAAATTTTGCTTTTTTCATTCGTTATCAACCATGTGTATATGTAAACGCGATGTGCTTTCACTGTTTTCCTCTCTCTCGCTCTCTATCTTTCGGTCGGTTTGCACACATACTACGTACATATTATTCGAGTGGTTTTGTATGCTCGACCTCGACAAGTTTCGTTTTCGCCCCTCCGCAAATACATACATGTGAGCGCAAGTATGTGTGTGTGTAATTGTCATCATGCTGCTTCATATATTGTAATTTCTGCTGTTGTTTTTTGCGAATTTCCTTGACTCCTTGAACCTACCCAGGCATACATACACACTTGTATATGTATATATGTACACATGAATATGCCAGCGTACTCACACACGCACAACGTAACCTGTCTGCCCCGTAACTGTTGCTGCGCCCCCGCCGACTATACACACATACACATGTCGTCGCGCGCTCTGCTGCTTGCTCTTGCGTTTTATTTGCCTTCTGCTCTGAGTGCTGGCGCTTCTGAACTGTTGTTGTTATTGTCGTCTCTGCTGTCTGGCTGCTGCGGCTGCCGCTGTCGCTGCTGTTTGTAAGTCGAAGTCGTTCTCTAGCTTTTGTTTTTTCTACTCTTTTATATTTGTTGGCTCATTTACTTTGCTTGAATGTTGTTGTTACTCTTTTTATTTTTTTTCGTGCGCGCGCGACTTTTGTTGTTTTTGGTTTTCTTTTGTTATGCTTGCTGTTTTTTTTTAATCATTCTCTTATTTTGCCTTTTGCTGATTTTACTGTCGGTTTGTTGTTGTCGCCAACAGAGGGCATGAGTGCGAGCAGAACAACAAGAACAACAACAGTAACAAGAACTACTGCGGTGCCTTAGTTATCAGCTATGCCCAACAGATATGGTGCCCGTATGTATGTACGTATGTATATACGTACATATGCCTACAGTACTCTTCATAAGTATAACGCCACTCCGAACATTAGGTAACTTTCGCCTAAACTGATCTATCCCAATTTAATGATTTACAGCTAACTTGTCTAACTAAACTTTTTTTTTTTTGTCGTCCGGCATTCAATTCGCCCACCCACTTTGCCGTGCCGCCTCAGTTGTGAATGACAGCACACATCGACGCACATCTCATGATGATTATTCATCTTAATTTCGCCGCAAAGCGAGGCTGCCTTGTGACGTCTTTTACAGCTGGCTACGCTTTCGCAACTCTCTTTCGCTCTCACTCTCTCGCTCTCTCTGTTTGCGTGCGTGCGTTGGAAGTTGTCAAGCCAAATGGGGCTCCAGCTTCAAATGCTGCTTCCATTTTGGAAGTTCATTCAGCTTTGATGCGGCGCTTCCAGGCACAGGTCAACGGCGTCACTGCATTCACATCCATTTATTTGAAACATTTGTCGTCGTCGCAGTTGCCGTTGCAGTCGCAGTCTGTTGATTTTTATACATTGACTTTCAGTGTGTGTGTGTTTGTGTTTTTCGCTAAGATTCAAGAGCGATTCCCTCTCCACCATCTAATCGCTGCTGCTGCGACCATTTGGAACTGTTTTGTGTCTTTTCTTATTCGTTTAATAAACAAACAAAACATCATTTTCAATTGGTATTTAATAATTTGATTCGATTCGCTTCGCCGTCGCTTCAAAACATTTGCAAGAAACGTGAAAATGTGCAAATTAAATGGCTGAGAAAAACCACTTAAAAATCGTTTTTTGCATTGTTGGCTGGCCACACCAGCTGCCGTTGCTCTTTCGCACCAACAAATTGTTTACAAAATTTATACGTCATGCATACATACATATAAAATGTCTGCATGTGTGTGTGTACTGTTATACTCTATAAAGCAAACACAATGGGGCATTTGAAAGTGCGTAGGTAATTTGAATATTAAATGGAAGGTCTTCTTCTATGCGCTTGGCGAGGCTCACAGCAGCCAGCTTTTGTGTTTGAGCAAAGAATGGCTTGGATTTTGTGTTCATTTAAATTTAAAGCAAATGAACTTTTATGGAAATTTATTTTTTGTATAAAAATTCTTTTTTATGAGAAATTGATTGTCTCTAAAATACTCCAGAGTTTATTTATGCAACTTTTTATAAATCATAGCTCCACTTACTGCCTGAGCAAATTGTAGCTCATTACAAATTTTTCTAAGCCTTTTACAACTCAATTCTTTGCAGCTCGCGCTTCAATTGGCCGCAGAATTGCGTGCGTGTGTATGTGTTTATATGTGTGTGTGTACTTGCGCTGCGTCGCGCTTCTTCTGTCCACAACTATTTCGCGCTGTTGCTGCCTTAAATTGATTTCAATAAAGAATTTGTTGACTTGAACGCTTGCTCCAGCAAACATTCGCCACTTGACTTGGGCCACGCGCGCCATCTCGCTCGCGCACTCAAACAGTGTGTGCGTGTGTGTGTGAGTGTTTGTTTGTTTGTGTGTGCGTGTGTGTGTGTCTGGCCACGCGACCTTGATGCTGTACATTAACCCATTAAGTTGTGTCGTGGTCCGCAATGCACGCAGCTTATGTAGCAGGCGACAGCTAGCTGAAGGAGGAGGAGAAGCACGATGAGAAGAAGGAGAGCAAGAAGAAGCAACAGCTTGGACAGGCGAGATCAGCTTACGGCGAGAGAGTGAACATAGAGTGAAGTGTGTGAGAGAGAGAGAGGGAAAGAGGTAGCTGTTCTGTTGTAGCTTGCAATGCTCGTGTAGTAGGCGACAGCCGGTAGGAGGAGGAAGCACAGTGTAAGGTGCGAGAGTGAGAAGGAGCGAGGAGAGCGAGGCAGACACTGGTTTATTACACTGTCCACCATAAGTTGTTGCCTAGGTGTTGTGGTGTGTAGGTTTTCTGTTTGGCTTAGATCAAAGAGACAACAGCTGTTGGCTGGCCACGCCCACTAGCAACAGTAACTAAAACAGCAAAAGTGATCAAAACCAGCAGCAAACGAAGGCCAAATATCAAATGTGATTTACTTTTAATTGCTTTTTATGTTTTTGTATAATGTTTGCGAACGCAGCACGGCGACAACAAGGCTAAAAATGTGAAAAGAGAAAACAGCTCAACAAGAAAACAAGAGTATCAACAAAAGCAACAACAAATATCAACAAATAACAAACAACAACAGCGTTTCGAGCAGCCAACGTGCCACAAGTCAAATCAAATCGGAGACGCCTCACGTGCTCGTTGCATTTTGGCCACGTGGCCGTGTCCAATGGCCCAGTCGGGAGCAGATGCCACAGCGACAACAGCGAGAACAACAACAACTGCAACAACAACTGCATCGAAGCAGCTGCCGTTGACCTTTGACACAGCGAATGCAACGCGCAAATAATTGCAACAATTCAATTTGAAAGCTACGAATCGAATTAAAATTTTACGCTGCTGCTGTTCCTCGGTGTGTGCGTGCACGCGTGTGTGTGTGTGAGTGTATGTGTGTGTGAGTGAATGCGTGTATGTGTGCAGCAGCAGCGGCTTTGTATGGCAAATGAATTCAAGCTCGGCAAACAAAAGAAAATGCAGCTTAAGTGAACTTCCTGCGTTCACAACAACAGCAACTAAAGCAACAACAACAACAACGAGTGGGAGGGAGGCGGTGCAGGCAACGCGACTTTAGCCAATTACCAAAACCAACAGCAACAGCAGCAACAACAACAACAACAACAAAGTGCAATGGCCGCCTCCACATCAACGCCACAAAATTACAAAGTGCCATCGACGAGCAAAATATCTGTGGATAAACTTTTACGCGTCGGCTACTACGAGCTGGAGAAAACGATAGGAAAGGGAAACTTTGCCGTTGTTAAGCTGGCCACAAACATTGTGACCAAGACAAAGGTGAGTTATGCTTCCAGACTATATTCAAGGCTTAATGTAATTAAAGGTAAAAGGAAATATTGGCGAAGATCTTGGTCCATATGAAGTCTACTATAATCCGATTTAACACTACATATATCTGGAATACGGAACTTTATTAAGAAAAAAAAAAAAAATTATTATATATGTAGATTATGAATAATCATCGATTGTCATATATAGTGTATCGATTCATATATCGATTGCACTCACGCATTTCGTTTTGCTTTCTCAATTCCTGCCGTTAGGCTGCGCATTTGGCTTAATCAAATTGATCTTAGTTATTATAATTCTTTTGTTGTTTTGTTTATTGCCGCGTAAATATGTGCGCATAGTATACCTAACTGTTTACCCAACCTATTTACACAACATATTTGTATTGGCTGATCGGCCAGTTGTGTTACTTCGATTTGCCATCCCTCTCGCCCACCTCTCTCTCTCTATTCTCAACGATATTTGTTTGCTTTATGTTTTTGCATACAATTGGCCTGAGAGCAACCGACGTCGCTGCTCGGTCGGTCTTAACTCTCAGATCAGATGATGCTAATTGAAACGCATTTAACTTCATGTCTGTCCCGCTCTGTCTTACCTTACCTCCCTCGCTCTTTGTCGTCTATCTCTAACGGGGAAGACACGATGGAGCCCTGTCTACACTCACACACAGACACACACGCACACACCTGTTATTGTCATTGTTATCCCTTTCTCTCTCTATCCTCTTTGGTCTCCCTACCTCTGTCTCTGTTTGCGGAAGCAATTAAGCTTTGTTTCGTTCTGTTTAAGATCATCTTGTTGATTTTTGTTCTTTCCTGCTCTCAAATGTAATTTGCATTTACAAATATTTTCGTGAATAATTTCCGTAAAAAGTTATCTCTTAAATGCATCTCTAAAGTGACTGGGATACTGTATTTAATTAGTATACGGCGTAATCGGTTGTGCGGACACTCGCACCTGTTCGTAAATGTGCTTGAAACACACATTTCGCTGGCCTTTGAAGTACCCTAGAGCATGCTGCTTTCAAAGGGTATATTTAAAAATCGAAATATACCATGACTCTACATAGAGCTAAAAATATTATATACAGGGTATTAGGAAGTCATGTCGAATTGAACTTAATATTGAAATATGTATACGAATAATAATATTCATATGCTATATACAAATATAATTTACAGGGTATATTGCTAGTCGTCCAAGTGCATGGCCCTTACCACTTGCGCTCTATCAGCTGAGCGACAGTTTCTCAACATTCTTTATAAATTCCGAATGCATTTTACAGCTGCTGCAGCTAGAAGTGATAATGAGTCACCTTCAGCTGGTTAACGGGGCGCTGCAGCGCGCTGTGGGCTGTGGGCTTAGGGCGAGCAGAGAGAGAGAGAGAGAGAGAGCTAGATATGTATATGTGCATTTGTATGTTTGTATTGAGTGAAACAACAAAGCGCACACAGCTGTCACAGTGGCTGTTAACTATATGCGAACGCTGATAATTTCGACTGCAACTGCGACAACAACAACAACAACAACAACAACAACAGCAACAATTGGAGCAACTGTAACAACTATAACAACAACAATAGTCGAATGCTCTTTAATAGTTTATCACAACAATGAGTGCAAATTTGTAGGCCAAACAGAAAAATGCCTCGTTTTATGCATAATTGACAACGAATGCGAATAATAGAGAATAGAATCGACAGCAGCGGCAGAAGAAGAAGACAAAGCAGCAGCAGAAGCAGAAGATAACTGTCAACAGACTATGTTGTGTGCTGAGTCTCCACACAAAAGTGTAGAGATTCATCCCACAACAGAATAAAAAGCACGTGCCTGTAATTCAAAATGGCGACTGGACTTGGATGAAGAAGAAAAGGGGGAAAATAAATACATACAAATAAAATGCAAAAAACAATTTACATATGACGCGCATATTTTATTAATTTCACTTGATTTCCATTTTCATTTGTTTTCGTTTCATTCTGTTTGCTTTTACAGTTCGTTATTTGTTGTTTTCCAATAAACTGATAACGGGGGGGAAAGAGTTAGGGCGAGTGCTGGACAGAGAGGGGCATATACAGCTGTTTGTCAATTTCAAGGTCCACTCACACTTACTTATCTTACTTAACATTCGCAATAGACGCGAAGACCCACGCGTGTGTGTGTGTGTGTGAGAGAGAGAATTGCAATGTATAAGTACATGACTTTGGCCATATTATCATTGCGGTCAATATTATTATTATTATTATAATTATTATTATTCTCATTGGCCATAGCTTTAGCTTATCGGCTAAGCGCATTTTGCTAATAATTATTGCTTTTATCAATGGGGCCTTTGTATACCTCATATGCAGGGACATTCTAGTACATGGTGTGTAAACAACATCCAGATAAGAATTTGAGTTTGTAAAGCTCAATTCATATATTCATAATATATCAATGTACAAAATGATATTGGATTTACCTTGAAGATATAAATAAGATAAATATAATATAATATAAATTTCATAGTAAAGAGCGAAATATTCAGTGAAGGGCTATTTAATCTGTTGTCACTCTTTAAGAACTTTTGTAAATAAACCGAAAATCCCCTGCTATAAAAGTCGTAATTAAAAACTAAAACAAATTAGAAACTTTTGCTTGCACTGAAAAGTTGAACAGCTTTATCAATTATAGAGCAAGATATCAATTTAATTAAGCCCTTTATTAATATGAATATTTTATATGCGCTTCCCTCTTTACCTCGTATTATTCCAAAATATATTGTACTTTGACTTAATATTTAGGGCTTCTGGGCCAACGAAATGCAAATCGTTGTCACGCCCTTTTTTATTTTTAATTGGCTTACCTTGTGCCTTGGCTGATTAATTGATTGATTGATTGATACTGATTGAACATGGTGAAATTTTAATTGAATTTATGGCGCGTGCAAGAATCGAGGCATTTGGCTGATTAACGCTCCAATTGTGCCAGGCTAGAACTAGATTTGCTGCTGGAAAATTTCGATTGGTTTTTGATTTTTAATTTTTTTTTATTGAAATTAAAAGAGTTTGTAGGTTTTGTGTAATTTTTTTTTAGAAATTAGATATTCAATATATTGGGGATTTATTGTGTAAAACTGTAAGAATTTTTGTTTATGAAGCAAGGCGAATGAGTAGAGCTGTATATGCCGCATTTCTCTCTCACTCTCTCTTGCTCGCTCTGTCTCTATCTCTCTCAATGTTCAATGAGTATATTGCAATCAGTTGTAGCCGACTGGAACGCTTTTACTAGTCTCATTTGGCATTTATTTTCTTTCGTCTTTTATTATTTGCGAACCCACGAACTCAGTAATATTATTATTTTTTTTTTATAATAATAATAATCGCGCTCCCGTTGCGCACTGAGGCAACTTTGATTGATCATTCGCTATGGCCAAATATTTAACTTGAGCTCACGCTGTCTGGCCACGGCATCGAGATCTCAAACTTGTTGCTGACCACTCGCAGATCTGCGCTGAAATATGTATGTATATATAGAAACAACATACATATGTACATATATCTATATATGTGTTGGTATATAAATATATATAATATATATGTATGTATATGTATTGGTATATATGTACATATATATGGCTTTACGACTCAGTCGCATGGCTGCCCAAATCGTTTAACAATTTTTATTTACTTTTTCATTAACTATTTCGCAGCTTTTGTTGTTGTTTTTTTTCGTTGCCTTCTTCATTTTTTTGCGTCTGTCTGGGGTTTTTTTTCTTGCGTTGTCTTTTATATTTGCTATCGCCATCGTAAAGCAGCAGACGAAATACCCTGTAAATAAAACTGGGATAAGAATGTGTTGAAAGTCGATTAAATCGTAGACAGAATTTAGTATATACTAGAATAGTTATTATTTATTTATATAACATATGAATTTGAATTGACTTGTGAAAACTCTCTCTCGCTCTCTCAATTAGCTCTCTCTTATATTTCTCTTGACAAGCTGACATTTAGTTGGGCATTTCCCTTTTATCACGTTCATAGGGTACTCATTTGGTTTAGCTATCATGTTTAGCTATCTAATTTATTGTTGATTCGCGCTTCAATTTGCTTTGCGTCTGCAACTTGCGGCTGACACACACACTCACACCTATACAACACACTCACACTTACACACACATTCGATAAACATTCGCATTCATATGATAACAGGCGCGTTATCAAAATACGCTTCCAGTCGTAAATTAACAACAACAACAACAACAGCAACAACAATGCTACGTAAACAACGCAACAATTTGCGAATCAATCACGTGCACAGCTACCTGATAATCTCGCTCTCTCGCTCACTCTCTCGAGGGTCCCTATACCTCATTGCCACTCTCTCTCTCTCTCACACTCGCTTACTGTCTGGGTTCCCTATTTGCACCTCTCTAGGTTCTCTATCTAGGTTCTTTATTTCCACCTCTCTCTCACTCCCTGAGGGCTCTCTTTCTCCCACTCTATAAGGTCTCACTCCCTCTCTCTTCCTGCCTATGCCTATCTCTCTCTAAAGTCCCAATCCTTCACGCTCTCACTCTCACTCTCCCTCACTCTCTCTCTCTCTCTAACTCTTTATCTCTCACTCTCAATTTAACCAAGCAAACCTCAATTATTTCAACACTTTCTATAAATGATTTATCGCCTTTCGCTTGATTAAATGTCAAAGCTCTGCTCTACGCATTAAATACCCATTTTATTGTCTGCACATACATACATATATGTGAATATATATATATATATATATTTCTATATAGCTACTGTCACTTGCCCTTACATTAAGTAGGCCAGAGTTATGAGAATTTGTATGAATCGATTTTCTCCAGCGTTTGGGGGAAATTGTTTAAAGTAAAGCCTATGTTAACCCACATAAAGTTTAGCGACCCTTGGCATAAAAACGCGACGCGCTAGGGTTAAATGAGAGCGCAAGTGAAAGAGTGCAAAAGAGAAAGAGAGAGAGAGAGCTAGTGAGGCAGCATCAATTGCAGCAGCCGCCGCAGCGGAGCAGAGAAAAAGTGGGCGTGTTTCAGCTATTGATTAAACACACAGCCAGGTGTAGCGTGGCGGGGTGGTTGGGCTGGCAACACACGTTTGATTACCGCGTGTAAACAGCAACAACAACAACAATAGCAACAATAACAATACCAGTTGCAAGGACTCGCCTGTGCATTGTGCAACATTTTGAGGCAGCCAGCAGGTCACATGTCGGCGAAGCGCATGGAACCCGATATGGAGGAGGAGGGGGCAAGTGCCACGCCGCCGTGCCAGAAGCAGAGAGCGCCCGTTAAGCCGCTGCGTGCCAAAAAGAAGCCAACGACCACGCCCACCAGCCTGTTGTGCGAACTGATGCGTCTGAAGGCGCAGCAAAAGTATCTCGAATGCAATCAAGTCAAGCTGAATGCCAACAATTTTCTCGATGACAACGACCCTGAGACGAATGAGGCGAACGACAACGACAACGACGACCACGACGGCCAGGAGGCGGGTGTCGCCGCCAAGGATAATGGCAATGGCGGCAAGGATAAAAAGCCCGGCAGTCGCCGGCCTTCGAGCGGCAATAAAGTCGCTGGCCTCATCAATGACATTGATCGACTCAAGCTGGAAATGGACGAGAAGCTGCGCAAGCATCATGCCGAGAAACGTGGCCAGCTGCAGGAGATGTGGCATTACATGAACACACTGAAGGAGGATGTCTTCCAGCCGGAGCGGCTCAGTCTGTACACGGTGAATGTGGTGCGAGAGCGCATCGTGGCGCTCAATGGCCAGCTGGAGCGATTGAGTGCCCAGAATGCCAAGGAGCTGGAGATGCTGCGGGAGGAGTACGCGAAAATGGAGCGGGAGAACGATTTCGTGTGGAAGGACAGCATTTGAGAATTGATGAGAATAACTTTTATATAATTATACACAATGTAAATAAAAAGAAGTTTGACTTGATTTTGAATCAAATGTTCATATGAACTAGTTCAATTACATAACCCAATATGTAGTATATTCATTATTGTTCAGTAAATACAACTCTACTAGTTCTAAATAAAAGTGCTCGTAGATTCATATGAACTAGTTCACTTTCAATATATGCTCCCTGATTCATTTGAACTAGCTCCATTAAGCTCTGTTGCTCATATGCCCCAACCATTATCATATCACCCGATAACAATTGAAGTTCACTTTTGAACTAGTTCACTTTCAATATATGCCGCCTGATTCATTTGAACTAGCTCCATTAATCTCTGTTGCTCAGTTGTCTCAATCATTATCTTATCATCCGATAACAATTGAAGTTCACTTTTGAACTAGTTCACATTCAATATATGCTTCCTGATTAATCTGAACTAGCTCCATTAATCTCTGTTGCTCAGTTGTCTCAATCATTATCTTATCAGTTGATCACAATTGAAGGAACTAGTTCACTTTTGAGCAGATTCACGTATGAACTGAGCTGCTTGACTCTTGCTAAAGCTCAAGCTGATTGCCCTTTTGATGGAGCCCATTGCCACATTGTAAATCTTCTTCCATTTTGCAAATGCAATTCAAGCGAGAGAACGCCTCAAATGTAAATTTATGTTTCAGCTTTTAAGTTAATTCAAATGCTAAATTGTGAACCGTGAACGACTCAAATGAGTCACAGCTTTGGCAATCAAAAGGAATTTACATTTTGTAATAGCATTTAGCATTCGCTTTTGTTACTGTTGTTGTTGCTGCTGCTGTTGCTGTTGTTGTTGTTGTAGTCCTCCAGCCTGTAAATCAATATGTGCGCCAAGGAGCGAACCTTTCTGCCTTGTGTTTGCCTTGGCTATATAATATTTTCCCTTCTTTATTTTGTGCTATGCCAAGCGAAGGATATCCAAATGTGACATTGTGGCTGTTGTTGCTGCTGTTGTTGTTACTGTTGTTGTTGCTGTTGCGCTTATTTTGAATGTCTCATTTAGTAGCGTTTGTTCTTAAGGTTCATCGCATTCGCGGCAAAAGGTCAGAACGGCACGTGGCAATGGCATTTCGCAACGGCAACGGCACAAAAATTTCGCCTTGTGTGCCCATCAGCAGCTGACAAAACAATTGTCCCAATGCAATTATTGTGTGGTACATCATTTGCAGTCTATCTAGAGAATGGGCCTAGCGACCCACTCTAAAATAACATATTTTATTAATCCAAAACTTTTAATTGACTTGACCTTTTAATTGTGAATGAATGTGCTGATAGTTTGCCATGTTTATATACATGTTTCTATAGTAGAGCTGTGTGTGCCTGTCTTGTGTAGCCTATGGCATTGTCTATCAATCAAAAATAGATCTTTCCATCAATGTTGCCCAAGTACAGAATTTGGCATATTATTGAGCAATGCAATGAATGCTATTCGGGATATTCCTATATTATTCCTAACTATCTATTTATTTATCTTACATATTTATATTTTCTTACATCATATATCTTTTATCATCTATCTGCTCTTCTCTCTATCCATCTAACTATTCAGAAATAGAAAAAAAATAACATTTAACTATATTTATTTAGTACATCAATTACGTGGCAAATGTGATTAGCAAACAGTTGCTTCACGCGCTTCGCAGCTTGGCATATGACATTGCGGAAAATATTACGCATACGCCAAGTGTTGCAGTGGCTAAGGCAGACAGCAGCAGCAACAAAATCTTTGATTTGAATTAAATATACTACATTTACTTATTGATTATCGACAAAGAATTGATTAGAGTGAGAGTAGACAGTGTCTAGAGGCGTATGCATTAATATATTACGCATACGCCATGTGGAATAAATTATAGATGCTGTTGTAAACGCTTTTTGTATTTTTTATTGTTTTATTTTTATTTATTTATATTCAATTATTGCACGCGGCAGAAGGCTCTGCTTAAGGCTTAATAGCAAAACGGCCACAAAACTCAATTTGTTTAAATGTTGAGGCAGCGGCGGCAACAGCAGCAACAACAACAACAAATTGGAAAACCGGTGTGCGGCTCATCATGATGATGTTGTTGTTGCTATAAGAGCAAGTGATCATGTACCTCGCTTGCTCTCCCACTCTCTCTCTCCCTCTCTCTCTCTCTCTCTCTCTCTTTCTTTCTCTGTGGTTTATTGCTCACTCTATCGTATACTCTCACTCACTCTACCATACGCTTGATTGTTAATTATTTCAGTTTTTTGTTAAATAATTATTGAAATGCTTGGCAGAAATACAAAAGCAAATAAACGGACAACGCGTTGTCTAAACTCTTGTGTAAAGAATGTTTTTTTTTTTTTAATTTTATTTTTTCATTATGACTCTGCTTCTGCTGTCTACCTTAAACCATACGCTGCTGCCGCTGCGCCCCTTGTCATCATCATAATGATAATGATCATAATGATAATCAGCATGGCAGCACCTCTCTTACTACAACCACACAGAATTTAACACTCGCGCCATCTTTGGCGTTGTCGTTGTCGTCGTCGTCGTGTTTGCTGTTGTTGTTGTTGTATTTGTTGTTGTTGTTGCTGCCAGTGTGGCTGCAGACAGTGCGCCACCTACCACCTGACCCCCAGCAACAAATGCGACCGTGCTATCCCAGCCGAGACACGTTTATCTCTTGCCTCTTTTTTCTTGATATACTCTTACGTAGGGTATGATGGTGATATCAGACATTTTGTAGAGTTTATAAAGAGGGTGCAGCATAATTAATACATATATATTTTTAATTTTGGTCTATATTTATGGTTGGTTTCTTTATCTATACTTTAAATTTTTAAAGTATTAAGTCATATATTTTTGTGGTTAAATATTATTTTAGCATACATTTATTTTTGGCATACTTTGAAATTTCCTAATACAATGAAATTTATGTTATACATACGTATTTAAACTTAATTGATTTATATTTAATTTTGTGGAATTTTGATCTTAAGAAAATAATAAAATATTTTAATAAAATAGAATAAAATTTATTGTAAAAAAAAATAATAATAATAATTTAATTATAAATAAAAAGAATTTAAATTTAATAGATTTGACGCTAGCTTTCATATTAAAATAATTTAAATTTAAATTATTTTTATTTGATAATAATTATTTATTATTAATATTTATTTATTTATCATATTTGGTATTTATTTATTTATCATATTTGGTATTTATTTATTTATTATATTTAATTTTAATAATTAATTTATCTAATAATAAAAATATACAAATAATTTAAATTTAATAGATTTTAAATTATTTCTTTTTTAATAGTAATTATTTATTATTAGTATTTATTTATTCATTATATTTAGTATTTATTTATTTATTATATTTAGTATTTATAATTAATTTATTTATTAATAAAAATATTAAAATAATTTAAATTTAATAGATTTGACGCTAGCTATCAAATTAAAATAATTTAAATTTAAATTATTTCTTTTTTAATAGTAATTATTTATTATTAGTATTTATTTATTTATTATATTTAGTATTTATTTATTTATTATATTCAGTATTTATTATATTTATTATTAATAATTTATTTATTTATTAATAAAAATATAAAAATAAATTAAATTTAATAGATTTGACGCTAGCTATCATATTAAAATAATTTAAATTTAAATTATTTTTATTTATATCATATATATATGCTCTATATACAAGAATTTATACAAATTAAAAACAAAATGATTAAATGATTTAACATAAAGTTACATGTATCATAAATGAATTTTATCTCATCAATTATTAAAAAATTAAGTACAAATACCCTGAAAGAGTATTGAATAGTCGTCATGTTGTGACTTGCTGTCACTTGCTCTGGTTACTGGGAGAGCAAGATTTTGTCAGCAGCAGCCCACACACAGATGGAATTTCTTGCTGTCTCTCGGTTCGCTCTTGTTTGTCAATCGTCGCATTCTCCTTTTCAGCTCGGTTCGTTCACCTTGTGGTACCAAGCCCAAAAAAAAAAAAAAAATAAAAAAATAAGAAACAACATCGCATATAAAATATTTTATTTTGCATTCATATCCGAATTATTGCTGTAGCTTTGACTGATGTGATCTGCTTTGTTTCCTACACTCTCGAAATTCCAGGTGGCCATCAAGATCATCGATAAGACATGCCTCAACGAGGAATACCTGAGCAAGACGTTTCGCGAGATATCGATACTGAAATCGCTGCGTCATCCGCACATAACACGCCTCTACGAGGTGATGGAATCACAGTCGATGATCTATCTGGTTACCGAATATGCGCCCAATGGCGAGATCTTCGACCATCTGGTGGCCAATGGACGGATGAAGGAGCCGGAGGCGGCGCGTGTCTTCACACAGCTCATCTCGGCGGTGCACTATTGTCATTTGCGTGGCGTGGTGCATCGGGATCTCAAGGCCGAGAACGTGCTGCTCGACAAGGACATGAATATAAAGGTGGGTACCAGCACTTGAACTATGTGACCTTGGATGATTTCTAATGCATCTTCTAAACCCTTACAGCTGGCTGACTTTGGCTTTAGCAACCACTATGAGGCGGGCAGTTTGCTGCGCACGTGGTGCGGCTCACCGCCGTATGCGGCGCCCGAGGTGTTTCAGGGTCTGGAGTACGACGGACCCAAGTCGGACATCTGGAGTTTGGGCGTAGTGCTCTATGCTCTCGTCTGCGGCGCCCTGCCCTTCGATGGCACGACCATATTGGAGCTGAAAAGCCGTGTGGTGCAGGGCAAATTCCGCATACCCTTCTTCATGTCGCAGGGTGAGTCGAAGAAGCTATAGCCAATATATAATCAGAGCCAATCGCTAATTGTCTGTCTGCCTCCACAGATTGTGAGCACCTGATTCGAAATATGCTCGTCGTCGAACCGGATCGTCGTTACACCATCAAACAGATCATCAAACATCGCTGGCTGAGCGACTGGCAGGCGGAGCTGCAGCAGGAGGAGCGTCTGGACGGGAATGCGCTGCCCTTTGGCACGGCTGGCCCGCCAATGCAGTCCAGCTCTTTGGGCAGCTCAACGACATCGCTTGCCGGTGGGGATGGCACGGAGGCTGCGGCGCCACCACAGCTGGATGCAGTGGTCATGACGCACATGCTGCAGCTGCCGGGCCTGACGGCCGACATGATTGCCCAGTCGGTGCACGAGCAGCGATTCGATAACATCTATGCCATATACAATCTGCTGCAGGATAAGCTGCTGCAGAGGCGACGCGAAAACCAAAGACTGCAGCATCATGCGAACCTTGCCTACTCCAGATCCCGCAAGACAAGCATCACCACGGGCGTTGTGGATCGCTCGGAGCCCGTTAAACAGGAATCTCTCGACCGGCTCAGTCCGCTGAGCAGCAATGTGAACGCGTCCAATACGGCGCTGGGCTTTGGCTGGTGTGCCGACGTCGGCGTCGATCTGGAGAAGTTCGGCGACTTTGAGCTGGAGTGTCTGGCGCGTGCCAATGAGGTGAGACTCGCATAACAATTGTGAGAGTTGCCAATCTCTAACGGTTTTCTCTTTTCCGCAGCCACCTGTCAATTCGCAGCACTTGAGCGCCACGGCGGGCGGCGTTGCGGGCGCCAATACACGTCGCCACACGGTCGGACCCGGCGACGTGGCCCACGAGCAGGCGCTGGCCAATCCCCAAATGCCGCCCATTGACTTCAAGTGTGCGCCGCAGTGCAACGAGACGGGCCAGGCGACGCTCTACTACCCGACTAATCTGCCCATGCTGCAGAATCAGCCGCTGCACAACTTGACCATCAAGGATCAGCATCTGCTCAAGCCGCCCGTGGTGATGGGTGCCAGTAAGCCTTGACGTCTGAATAGTATTTAAATAGATTATTAATCTCTGCTATTCTCTCTCTCTCTCTCTGATCAGGTTCGTTTGGACGACGCGCCTCGGATGGTGGCGCCAATCTACATATTTACTATCCGGCCGGCATTGCGGCGGGCAACAGCGGCGTGGCCGCAACTCCACAGCAAATGGACACCACGGGCTATTACATCAATGCCAATATGAATGCAGGGCCGGGCACGACGGAGCTCTCGCCGCTCGGTGAGCAGGCGGCGGGTCAGCTGCACTGCTGTCCGGAGAACAGCGGCGAGGAGTGCAGCGAGGAGATACAAAGGCAAAGCTCGAATCTTTGATCATGCTTCAAACTGAACTCAGCTAACTCCAACTCTCTCTCTATCTCTCTATAGATACATGCAAAAGCGTGGCTGTGTCAAGCGCCATACCGTCGGCTGCACCGAGGATCTGTCCGTCAGCCACAGTCCGGGCGAATGCATGGCGCACATGCAAGTGGGCCAGCCGGGTGCACAGCCGCCAACGCCCACCGGCAACGGGGCGGGCGGCGGTAATATGCGCACGCGACGCACGGGTCTGCTGACCGTTACGGAACGACCGCCAGGTAGGATTTATATACAAATATATATATATATATATAATAGGATTATACATATATTATTATTCTCTGTACTCTTCGGGTTGTTTAGGGGTTAGTTAATAGCTTAGTTAAGCATATAAATGTGGTGTAGACCTCATGAGGCTATAAATCAAACTGTTTAAGATCTTTACCCAAGGTTGTTGTCCTTTTATAAAGAGTTTCAAATGTCCAAAAGCAACAAAAAAATGTCAGAAATAGGAAGAAAGAATAAGAAGAAACTATTCGCAAAGAAAGTATAATCAATCAACAAGGGAAATATTCAAACAAGCTACAAAAATGAAGGAAATTTTTTATATTTCTAAGATAATAGTTTAACAATATAAAAGAAAGTAAAACAAATAATTTAGAAAAGTTTAAATTGCCTAAGAGGAATAAATAACGTTAAAGTAATAATAATAAATTTATCAACTTGAAATTGTCAACAAAATAATAATAAATTAATAGTGATGAAATAAAGGGAATAATTAAAATAGAATTATTAAAATATTTAGTAGGACTTTTAACAAAATATAGGAAATTTTTTGTTGCAATTTGTAGTTTATTTGGAATCAACTATTAAGCAAAATATATAAATAAATTCATCAAAACGTGCCCTATAAAAATGAATAAAGTAAATCATATAAGCCTTGGCTTAACGGGTTTACTCAAAATCCAAAGCTGCCTCGCTTGAGCCACGCCCTTAATTTAGTTTGCCTTAAGTTTTTTTCATATACATATATGCTTTCTAATAGCTTAAATTTCGCAAATAATTTCTTTAATTTAATAAATAATATTTTATTTAATTTTTATATATTTTTATTTCTTAAATTCTTTTTTTCCTCTTTTGTATTTCGTTTTATGATTTTTCGGATATATTTTGGTTAATTGGCTTGTGTGTAAATCGCTAAAAATAAATAAAAAAAAAAAAAACTGCCAATGCCTGCTGCACAACAACTGCAACAACAACAACAACAACTTGCCTAACAACAACAACAACAACAAACGATCAATCAACTGCCGCTGCTGCTGCTGCTGCTGCACGCTTAAAATCCTCCTCCCACCCCTCGCACACGCACCTACGCTCACCCGCTCCCATCTCACCTCAGTCATCTGCCCCGAGCTCATACGCGAAGTTGAATCTCGCATGAATCGCGACTATTTGCCGCCCACACTCAAATCGCTCAGCCAATCCCCGCCTGGCCTGGGCCTGGCCATGGCTGGCTCCGGTGCGCCGCATTCATTGCCATTGAGCATAGCGGGGGGCGGCGGCGGTGGTGTTGGTGTTGGCGGCGGCGTTGGTGGTGCTGGCGGCGGTGGCGGTGGCAGCAGCTCAGTGCCGCTCGTCGTGGCGCCCACAACGGCGGCGAACAATCGACGCGCCTATCGCGCCGCCCACTGTAAGCTGCCCACTGTGCAGGAGGGTGGTAAGTGGTCGAGCTCTATGAAGGCTGCTCGGCAAACGAAGCTCCATGAAAGTTCCATTTGGAGTTGTTACTAATTCAATTTCCATCTCTCTTCCTCTCTTTTCTTTTGTATTTGCTCTCTCGCTCTCAAATTGTAGGACGCTACAGTCCCGTGCGTCGCGCCTCGGAGGGTTCACGCTCGCAGTTCCAGGGGCCGCTGCAGGAATGCCAATCCCTGCAAAAAGGTATCGCACAGAGAAATTTTTTGGTTGCACCCAGTCCGCCGCTTTTAGAAAATTCGATCAGTCTGCCAGGTAAGCTAAAAACCCCAACCAGAGCTCGTTAGGAACAAACACAAGGAGAAGGAATTGCCCCCTCTCTCCCTCTCTCTCTCTCTTACTTTCTGCAACGGTCTCTCATTGCTCATTCTATTTTTGGCAGGCTCGCCCATACATGGCAAACCCACAAATTTGCAGCTGGCGCTGCGTCGCGGTCACGGTCACGACATCGAAGTGCCGCCGGAGGCCATTAAGAATCTGATGCCCGCCTTGGATCGTCTGGTGAAGGAGCAGCGGGTCAGCTTTGATATTGCCAAGAAGATAATCTCATCGAATGTGGTGCCCATCGATTTGGCGCCACAGCTCGGCCTGGCTGCGCATGCGGCGAGTGGTGCAGCCGTTAGCGGTGGCTACCTGGATCAGTCGCATCTGCACCACCAGCCGCAGCCCATGCACAGCTACAGTGTGTCGCCGCTGACGCTGCCGCACGGCCCCAATGCCTCGCTCACGTCCGCCAAGCAGATGTTCGGCCAGCCCATCTGCGGCTATCAGTATCAGACGACGGCGCCGCCGGCCCTGGGTGGTGCAGCGCTGTCGCTAACGCTGCCCTTGCAGCCACAGCCACAGCAGCAGCAGCAGCAGCAGCAGCTGGTGGGTCAGTTCAGCAGCATCAATCTGGGCGCCAGCAATTCGAACAGCAGCAGCGGCTGCCAGTCGCCCGTCTACAGCCAGGGCATGGCCAATAGCCTTAGCAATAGCAACAGCGGCAGCGGATTCAGCGGTAGCTGCTCACCCAATCCGAATCCGTATCTGCCCGGCACGGGCCCATTCAATCCCTGTGTGAATGTGAATGCGGCCGCTGCGTCCACTTCTCCGCTGCATCAGATCACCAAAGGCATCTCGGGCCTGAGCACGGGCGGTGGCTCCATCACGCGCGGCACCTCGGCGGCCAGCGAAGGCGCTGCCCAGCAACCGCTCGACTTGTCCATGGACGTCTGCAACATGGATCAGGCGGCCGACTATGCCGGGCCATCGAACTGGTTTATGCCCGCAGCAGCGTACTATGATCTGAAGCCGTTGAATCTGTCGCCCGCACAGCCGGTGCGCGTGGTGCCGACGCCGCCGGCATCGCCCAATCTGTGCATCATCCAGGAGGAGAACGGCAATGGCCAGATGTGCCATACCATCAGCACGGGCACGCCCTATGCGGGCTGCACGGGCGGCATAACGCCACAGATATGCCTAACGGATGTCCAAGGCAGTGAGATTACGCTCGTCGCGCTCTCCTCGGACAACAGCAGGGATAGCGAGGATTCACTGGAGCCGCACACGCCGATAATGTCGCTGCAGGTGAGATTCGATACTTAACGCCGATGAGTGTGGATTCCTGAAACTAAACCTTAAATTCTTACCCACCACAGGGTCTCATCATCACCGAGCCCAGTAGCGATATGCCATCCATAACGCGCGGCATTGGACGCAAGGCGAGCCTGGACTGTGAGCCGGTTGGCTCGAGTCATGCTGGCCATGCTGCCCAGAGCTCGGCACAGGCGGAGGCGCATAGGCGTGGCAGCGACAAGTCGCTGGGCTTCTCCGATGATTCGCTGAGCAACGACTCGAATAATCTGTCACCGTCCTGCCAGGAGCCCTCGGCCAGTTCGGGCTTCAAATCGGACTCACATTCCGAAATGGGCGATCACACGGAGTGTGGCCATCTGACGCCCGACTCCATGTGCGATTCGCGTCGCATGTCCGATGAGATGTGCTACGAAGTGCCGCTGCCACACGAGTGCTCCAATCTGGACTCCACACGCATTCTCGAGATGGTCAAGCAGACAATTGACTCGACGATGCCGCCCAAGGGATTTGTGCTGCACAAGGGCAGCATTAGCTCAGAGGACAGCGGCGCGGAGTCGCGGCACAGCAGCGCCTCGAATGCCTCCAGCGATGCGACGCCGCATGCCACAGCCAACAGCAGCAGCAGCAGCAGCAGCGCTAACCACAGCGCCAGCAACAGCAATGCGCCTGCCTCACACACGGCCGGCTATGCCGAGCCGACCACGAATCTGAGCCTGGAGTACTCTGGCGGGCTGCAGATCGAGCTGCAGGTGTGCGAGGGCCGGAGTCGGGATCATCATGGCGCTGCCAAGGGCATCAAACTGCGACGCATCTCGGGCGATCAGTTCGAGTATGGTAAAATATGCCAGCAGCTGATTAGTACCATAACCATGCAACAGGTGGCGGGCTAAGGCTAAGCGAATGTGTGTCTCTATGTGTGTGTGTGTGTGTATCTCTGTATCTGTATCTCTGTGTGTCCTGTAGTTTAGAGAAACCAAACGTAATTGACTCGCCTTGCCTATTAACTCTGCGTAGCTGTGATTCAAGCCGATTTGTACATAGAAGAGTGCATAATTAAATGTGTAAAGTGTAACTAAATGTCCATGTGTAACTGGTTTCTGCATCTGTGTGTGTGTGCGTGTCCATCAGAAGAGAAGAACAAATACACTACTATAAGCAATCGAGAAACGAGAAAATGATAGATCAACAAAAATGTGTCCTTGTTCAGTTTTTATTAATTTTGTTATTGTTATTGGAAATTGTTGACGATTATGTTTATTAGATCTGTTCCTCAAATAACTTTGTAACTTTAATCAAAATTTTTAATTATCAATTTGCATAATAATGTTAACTATTTAGATAAATTAATTATGCATTTTTTCGAATTTTTATAGCTCCGATTTTAGCTGTATATACGATATATGATAATGCACGTTAGGCCTAAAATAACCAACTATACATATACACACACACATACATATAGCCAAGCAGGCAGGTTTTTATTTCCAACTTGAGCTATATATATATATAATTTAATATTTTTTGGAATAACTCAAAAGAAAACGATTTAAATGCATTCCAGTAGCTAAATTTTTCATACATTTTCTGACGTTCTAGTGGTATATACATTTAAATAATTAAATATGTAACGTATTGTAGCAAATAGTTAAGGCTAATATATATATATACATCTAATTTTCAATTCTGTGCAATCCAATATGGCAAATGTGTATAGCGCTAACGATTCTGCACAATTTCAATTTCAAACAAACCACTTTACTATATAAATGATAATGAGATGATAAAAGGTAATTTCTGTAGTTAGAATGCAGTTTTTGCTCCGATATTCGTAAGCATTATATGTGTAAGCCTCTTTGATTCCGTAACATTTTAGAAGTTTATGTATTTAGTAAAACTTTGTTCGTTTGTTAAATGGTTAGTAATGGCGCCTTCGATATGCGTTCAAATTGAATTAAACACAAATTGAGAAATCTATTATTAAAAGACTGCTGTGATTTTAAATATAATTAACTATTTAGTTCAGAAAACAAAATACAAGAAATCCAACAAATAAACAAGAACTTAGCTATACATATGATTACATAATAATTAATTCAACTTTATCTTAAATAAATTACCAACTCTCCAAACAATAAATTACTAAATGTACAATTTATTTAACTTTAATTGGTTTTAAAGCTTTAAACATCTGATTTGAAAACGCGCGCACTTTACACTTGTTGCGCCATCTGGCGGCTTATAAATAGTTTGGTCTGTCAAAGAGAGCTGCATTTTACAGCACATATCGATAGCGTTGCATGCTCATCGATAGTAAAAAAAGAAGAAGCAGATTGTTTTGATGCTTAATTTGTAATATTGTGCGAATTGTGTTTGTTATTGACGCTTTTAATGGAATAATCAATACGAAAATGATTTGCCGTCTGTGCCTGAATAGCGCCAACGACACAATTCAAATATTTGAAGGCGTCGGCTTGTCCCTGAATGTTGCCACAGTGCTGGCCAAATATTTCTGGTTCGAGGTAAACTATTTGTATAAAAAAATATTTCAATTTCGAAATTGTAAACAAAGCTCATTAATAAATAGCCAAAATGTGATGATCCCATATCGACGGACATCTGCGTGGGCTGCTGGACGCGCGTCAGCGATTTTAATGAGTTTTACGCAAGTGTGGAGAAGGCGCACCGCCTGCTCACTGAAAGGTTCTCAGTGAAGGTGGGCGAGCAGTCGGAGAGAGAGGAGAAACTCAATCCACGGAGCAACAATGGCGACCAGAAGCAGGAAGAGCAAGAGAAGCAAGAGGATTCGAAAGATTTTCTCATGCACAGCGAATGCGCTGCCGATGCCGACGTCGAAGACGATTTGGCAAATGACGAACAAATGCCAGCGGTGGAGGCTTTATATGCGAGTGGAAACGAGAGCGATGCAGCTGCATCGTTTAGCAATGAGCAGTTTCTGAACGATGTGCTGGCCCAGCAGGGAGAACCAGCTGGCGATGGCAATGGCGAAGCCGAGGCTGATGCGGCAGAAGTGCCGAGCACAGAAACAGTGCCGCAAGAACGTCGTGAAACCCGCTCCACACGCTCCAAGAGCAAAGCCCAAGTGACAGAAGCTGCTACTGCTGCAGCAGCTGCTGCTGCTGCGGCTACTGCAGCGGAGCAGTCGACGCCTGCGAAACGTCGTGGCCGATCGAAAGCCGAAAAAGCGAGCCCCAATGCCGTGGAGGAATCGCCGAAGAACAAACGCTATGTGGATTATAAGAAATCGATGCTGGAAATTGATGAGAAAATCGCCCAACATATGCGCCTCACCTGCAGCATTTGCCACGAGGGCCAGGAGACATTCCTGACGCTCTGCAAGCACATGATGATGGTGCATCATCGCAAGGGCTATGCCGTCTGCTGCAACAAGAAGTTCTACAAACGTTCCTTTCTCACCGATCACATCGATCGCCACTCAAATCCCGAGAAATTCAAGTGAGTGGTAAACTCGACAATATCGTCCAAATAAAAAAAATACAAAGACTTTGTTTTACATTAAGCTAATACACGATTTTATGTTTTAGATGCGAGCTGTGCGATCGCACCTTTGCGGATAAACAATGTCTGCGCAATCACGAGCTGCTGAAGCACCAGCCGGACGAGCAAAAGAAATTCATGTGCGAGCACTGTCCGAAGCGCTATACGAAGCAGTATTTGCTGGATCAGCATAGGATCATACACAAGGAGCGCAACGTGCCATGCGACATATGCGAGAGGCGGTGAGCGCACAAAAATGTGACGTAGCTGACAATTGTGACAGCTTCCGTTTGATTAGCTCTAAGGGCGGGCGCTGCCGGCGCGGATAATCCCTTTGCTTTGTTGTAGTTTAGATGTTGATTGTGAGCTAAACTCTTTGCCCCTATGGTCCACATCTTTCTTTTCTCATTCTGCTCAATTCTACTCAACTAAGCTCACTCATTCTCGCCTTTCCTCTTCTCCTTCCAGTTTCCCCAACATGTCGATGCTGTGCACCCACGTCAAGATGGTTCACGGCAACTATGGCATCATGTGCGACATTTGCGCCCAGGTCATTCGCGGTCGTGCCGCCTTTCAGCGGCATCAGCTGGAGCATGCTGGCATCACGGAGCCGAAGGTGCAGTGCGACATCTGTGGCTCGTGGCACAAGAATAAGTATAGCCTAAAGAAACATGTGCGCCGGCACAACGGCTCCTCGGAGGAATGCACCTGCAACATTTGCGGCAAGGTCTCGCCCAATCGCAGCGCCATGCTCAGCCATCAGCGCTATGTGCACAATGCGGATCGTGTGCATGGCTGCAGCGTGTGCAAGAAGAAATTCAAGAAGGCCATCAATCTCAAGGAGCACATGGCCACGCACACGGGCGAGGTGCTCTACAAGTGTCCGCATTGCCCCAAGACCTTCAATTCGAATGCGAACAAGCATTCGCATCGCAAGAAGAGCCATCCCAAGGAGTTTGAGGAGGCGCGCAAAGCGCGCATACAAAATCGCATGGGCGACACGGCAAAGAGTCAGACGACGAGCATGATAACCATAACGACGGACGCCAGCGATGGCCAGCTGGAGACGCACAATATACTGGTGACAACCACCTCGTCACAGCCAGCGGACGAGGACGAGGACTACAAGGGCGAGGACATTGAGTACATGCTCACCCTGAGTCCACAGCCAGCGGAGTAACTTATAAATGTTGTTTTTTTTTTTTTTTGCTTATGGTAAACATAAATCTAAATATATATATTATGAAATATATATATGTATTATGTATAATTTAGTTTATATATTTGTAAATAGAATCCTTAAGCTAGCAGCGATTGACAGAAAGAGAAATAGACAAAGCCGGGAATGTTGTTGCATTGAGATGTGCTTGGAATTTCTTGCAGTGTACTAACCACGCTCGCAAATGATCTCCACGGCATTCGGCTCCATGAGCACAGACTCCAAGCACCGATGCACGGCCGAGCCCAGAATCTCGTCCAGCAAAAAGTTAACCAAGCTGTGAAGCAGAATAAATGTTTAATTAGTTTATTGATTAGATTATAAATATATTTCACTCACTTCTCATCGCTGACGAAGCGCCAGAGATTCATTTGCAAATAGTGCGCATCCACCTGGATTTGCTGCAGGCCAAATTTACTAAAGGTGCGCAGGCGCACGCACTCCAGCAGCGTCTGTAGAGGAATAGGGCAAGGATTATAAATAAACCAAAAGAGATGCATTAATGGAGTCGACGCACCTTGAGTCCAATTTTAATGATGCCCATGACAATGGAAGCCTTGCTGAACTCCACCGAGGTAAAGATGTCCACGCGCTCGGAGAACAAACGATGTATATTGGACACATAGCTGGACTCTAGCTGCGAGGGTGTATAATTCGACCAATTGGAGCGATATTGCGGCTTCGATGCATTGAAGTTGCTGAAGTAGGTCTTCCTGCTGGAGTCGCTGCTGGCCGTGGTGCGGAAGCCCGCATTGCCCGCATTGCTCTCGTAGAGGCTGGCCAGCACCGTCTCGATGCTGCCGAGCTCCTCGACGACGCGCTTCATGACGGCGCGCACCGAGCGCGGCTCCAGGCAGTTGAGCCAATCGCGCGTCTCCACGCTCTTGCGCAGCATTTGGGAGATATTTGTGCCCTGCAGCCGCACATAGGAATCGAGCAGGGATTGGGCTGTCTCGCGCATCTCGGCGCATATCTCTGTTTCGTGCGTGAGCGTGGCGCTGTTCTCCGAATCAATTTCATAGAGATCATCGACTAGAGTAATCTGGGAAAGGAGCAATGAATGAACATGAATTTAAGGTAAAGTTTTTTAGGCATTTGCCCTACCAGCATGTGCACGCCCTGCTGCTCCAGCTCGAGGCACGTCTTGGACAGCACCAGCAGCAGGTTGGGCGGACTGGAGCTGGAGACATCCGCAAAGCCGGACATCACCTTTGAGATGTGGCGCAGGAAACCAATCAGCAGATGCTCTCGGATTCCCTCCACGCACAGTGCGCCCTTATTTTCCGCTTTGATATTGAAGGACCAGTCGGTGCGCAGAAAGATCATCAAATCCTGCAGCACGCCCTTGATCTTCTCCACCATGGCCACGTACAGATTGTTAATGAGCTCGCTCAGATTCACATCACTCTTGGCGGAGACCAGGGACAATCGCACAGCGCTCAGACTGTCTGCAAAGTGATCCTTTAAGCTCTTGCCATGGGCATCGCACAGCTGATGGGCAGCTCCGATGATGATGTCCAGCGTGTTCCGCTGCACCTGCAAGCCGCGGCAGATGTTGCGCATGGCCTGCAGCCGACGATGCAGTCGATCCAGTGCGCGCAGCATCACCTGCGTGTCCCCATAGCCAATGTCCGATTCGACGCGATCCTGAACCAAGGTCAAGTACTTGTCAATGTTCTCATTGAGAAAGACGTTCAGCGCATTCAAGGCGTTCTCCTGGAAGTCGTCGCTAGAGGACGGAGAAGATGTGAATGGGAGATATATATAACTGATCTCTATATAGCTGATAGTTACCGCTCCTGCTCGTAGTGCTTGGCCACAAACATATCGAAATAGGAGGTGACCACCAGCGCCAAATCGTTGAGGAAGCCATCAATGCCCATGTCCACAAATTCCAGCATATCCCGTTCCGTCTGATCCTGCAGCATTACAATCTGCTCGTGAAGTCGCTTGCTGGCGCATCTCAACATCTCGCTGGCCAGGTCGCAGGTCTTCTCGTCCAGCTGCAGCAGCAATTCGCCAATTTCGGTCAACGACTGGGCCGTATTGCCGGCACTCTGAAAGTCCAGACGCAGACGCTCCTTCAGCTCCTCCATGATGGCATCGCAGTCGCGTTTGATGCCATCGAACGAGGGCTGTCGCCCATACTGGGCGAACACCTTCTGGGCATGCAAGTAATCCTGCACAGCCTGGGCATAGTTCTGCTCCTCGATCAGTGACTTCAGCTTGGCTGGCAGCGTTGAGAGGAACTGCAGGCGCTTCAGCAGCGAATGCTTCTCGGAGAGGCGACAGAGCTGCGAGCGTGTGCCTTGGAGAGTGCCCGTAATCTGTTCACTGAATGTGGTTATCGATTGCATCTTATTCATCAGCAGATTCACATCCGTTTCCATCTGCTTGAAGTCATCTTTCATTTTGCGTATCGTGTCCGTGGCAGAGATGAATTTGTTGTAGTTCTCGTAGACGAGCGTCTGCATGTCCGAGTGCAACGTCTGAGTGTCTTTGACGACGGCGGCCTCTGTGTCCATGATCTGCTTGAGTGAGCATTCCTTGAGCAGCTTCTCCAAATATCGATCGGCATCGAAGCTGGGGCTATCCATATCAAAGGGATTTTCTTTCTCATCCATTGTAGAGCAACTTTCGCATATAAACTTGATTCTTATTCATCTAAAAACAAAAACCATATGTTTCTGTTAAGCAAAAATTTAACATACTGTTAAGCAATTATTAACAGCTGCCAATCGGCTATCGATTACACAGTCACCGTCGTGTTTTATAGCGTTTAAATTTTAATTTGTCAAGAGTATTTATTGCAACAAGAGTCAATAATTGGTCAGGTAAATCTGTTAACACCTTTTTAAAACTGTAAGCGCGTTAATTATGTTTATTCATGTGGATGTGCCATGGTTGGTTGAATAACATATCGTGTATCCAACATAAAACGAGCGCCCCATTTGAAAGATTTTTTTCCATATATTTCTCATTAAATATTTGTAAGCCGAATAACTGTAGACAACTATGTTTATGAAACATAAATAATGCACTGATTATTTCAATAATTACATTTGACGCATTGACTATAGATTAAAGCTGTTTAGCTATATAATTAATATTTGAACTGATAAGCCGAATTCCATTATCTCTATAATTGTGAGCTGGGCCAGGTTTTTCCCTACATTCTGTAAATATACTCTCAATGGAAAGCATCGTTAAAATTGTAGTGCTCGCTGCTTGGGCACTGGCTGCGTCTATTTGCAACGTTGCTGCGGGTAATTTAAGTGCAATTGACTATTTATATGTATATATTCATAGTATTTTTATCTGTGTAGATTGCGTGACTGATCCCGAGACAATGTTGTGCATTTTGGATCCAAATCAAGGCTAAAAAGAAATAAGCTTTGATGCAAAATGTTAAAATAAACATAATGCATATTTGAAATTTAAATTTCTGGTGTGGAACTTATGTTAAATGTGTGGATGTCATATCGATAATATATCGAACTGTTGCTATAAAAGTCCTAGAGCGCGCATTGTAGGCGATTTTGAAAATTGCCAATGTGAAATAAACTTAAAATGTAATTCTTTAATGGGTACATAAATGAATACAAGAAGAAAGTTAAATGGGTTATTTTTCGATATTCTATGAGTCAATAAGAACTATAGCTGTAACATATTATAAATCTATATTGACCTGTAGATTAAAGTCTGACTCAAGCTCTTCTTATCTGCTTGAAACGTTTGGGCAGCTAGCATTGAGTGTTTCTTTATAATTCTTATAGATTTTTGTTTTCTTTCTGTGATTTTGCCGAGGCTTAGAGCTCAATTGCATTAGCTAATTCATGGAAAGGTCAAAGCTGATCGAATTTGACAGGGATTTAGTCGAAGACCTACGCCAATTGCTAATAGATAAATAAATCAACAAACCAGCCGCAATAAGCTACTCATTGAGCTCATCGCCTGCAAAGTTTGAGTTCTTTTTTGTGTGGGCTCTAAATCGCATTATTCGCCCACATTTGGACCCACGCCCACGCTTTGGCCATCTCTGTCCGGCCGGCTCGTGCATCATGTGCGATTGTTCGGCCACTTGTAGCCAATGGACGCAGCTGTCGTTATAGTGGCTGTTGTTATTGTTTTTGTTGCTTTCAGCTCTTGGGCATGTCGAGATGAATGAATAAACATGAAGAAGTTTTCCACTTTCCGCAGCCGAGGCAGATATGTCCAAAAGTTAAAGTAAAAGTAAAAGTAAAAGTTTTTTGTGCCGTATCTCATTCGTAACGGCTGCCACATCTGCCACGGCTGCTGCCACTGGCCACGGCTGTTGTTGTTGTTGTTGCTTTTGGCTCATTTCAAATACATTAATATTTTTACCTTTGTGCAAAAGTTTTTGGCCAAAAATTGTGCAAATCACGCAGCCTCGTTTCTTGCTGCAAGCTGAGCCCTTGCATAGCTGCAGGCATAAAATACAAACACACACACACTCACTTACACCCACACACACCTACACTCACACAGGCATAGCAAATCTCACAAGGTTTACATTCATCAAACAGAAAATTGAATTTACGTAAGCCAAACGAATGTCAAAGAAATAAGTAAAATAACAGCGCCCACCCAAGTCAAGCAGGAGGCGTGGCTGCTGTAGGTATGTAGTTGCTGTGTGTGTGTGTGTGTATAGAACGTGTCAAGGTCAGGTTACACTTACCGCCATTGTCGACTTTTGTCTTCCCGACCAACGCCAAATATTTTCCCTCCCCAAAAGAAGAAGACAAAAAGTAAAATTCTCGCGCAACAGGAACAACTTGTTCATGTGTGCACGTGTGTGTGTGTGTGTGTGTGTGTGTGTGTGGGATGAGCGTGTGCGTGTTGTTAAAGTGCGGCAAGTCGTTAAATGAATTTCAGTGCTGCATTGAGTACACTTAGAGAGTAGCGGAACCAAGTGGATGAGCACTGCGCGCATTTTGAGCTGACGCGAGGGTCGCTCGAGTAGTTGACCAAATGT